ACACACAGACACACACACACACACACACACACACACACACACACACGTCCCTGACCTACATATGAGTGATGTGGTGATGCGGCAACTCTTTTACTTAAGATTCCAAACAGACTGAAGCAACTTCATCTCTATTTATAAAATCATTTAGGATAGTAACTTAAATAGACTCAGGAATACACAAGAGTACAAGAGAGTGGTAAATACTATCAGTGTTTCCCATTAATTACCAAAACTGTGGCTGTCCGCCAAGTCTCATTTGTCCCACCACGGTTTCATAATGGACCAAAAATGTTTTTTACAACTCTCATAATAAAATATAAGCTCTCCAGCTTAGTCTTTTGTCCCATTGATTCTTTGTAGAGTTGTGTTCAGCATTATTCTCTTTCTCTGTTTCTCTGTTTCTCTGTTTCTCTCTTTCTCTCTTTCTCTCTCTCTCAGCAGCACCAGGAGAAATCCTGCCATGCTGATGGGCTGTCAAGAAACGTTTTTACCATCAATCTAAACATGGCACTCAAATGAGCAGATCTATAGTATTTCTGAACAGTGGTGAGCAGTGATTAGCATTGGCGCCACTGACAGCAATAAGGTTCTAGGTTCAAATTCCACTTCGACCTGGGAAAATGGGGAACGCCAGCAAAGCAGACAATCACAAAGCACCCGAGAAGCTGCGCGTGTCAAGTATTTTGGCCTCTACAACGTAGACAGCAAAGTAACAAACAAAGGTGAGCCTGGGGGGGGTTGTTATTCAAATAGATTTCATGTCAAATTTATTTGAAGTTGATTTTTTGAAAAAAGCGACAGCCCTTGCCCAGGGTATAACCCCACCCTCTCTGCAACCCTGAAAGTGGTATAGATAACACATGAATGGTTTCTCTTCTTTAAGAAGAGTGGACACCCAGTATCAAGATCTATGACACACGATCCAAATACAATAAAATACAAACTTACTTACAAACCTCATCTGTTTTAAAAAAAATCTCCCTTCTGAGATCACAACATGCAAATAGGATCAGATTTATTTAGCAAAGTCCATTGTTTACAAAAAGTCCTGTCATCCCATTCATAGCATCGTCAACCGCACAAAAAGTGGCGGTGGACAAACACTCCTGAGGCGTTCATTACATCACATTCATTCCTGACAGTAATGAAGCGGACACCCCAGGATACCTTATTACCACCCAAGTCTACCTTCTTCCTCTCATCACACATGCAAATATCAACACCCACATGTTGTTCACTCAGCCCACATATGCAAATAAAGTTAGAAGGCAGTAGGTAGAGCGCAAAACTGCCAAGACTGAACAATTCTCCAACACAACATCCCATAACTATTCATGTGTGTTAACGCATTGTTTCAGCAGCAGCTGAGATATTCACTGATGTCAAATGTTTTCCCCAGAACCCAAATGCAAATAAAATAATCACCAAGTGCTAAGCAGGAATGCGGGATCCTAACCCATCAAATCTGGCCGTGCTCTTCTGCACCAGCACTAAGGGATGTAAATGTATTTGTTATGTTTGTGAACACGAATAGAAACAAAACTGAGAAAAAGGTGCGTACACAAAGACTGACCTCTTATCTGCGTGAGACTGAGCGAGTGTGTGATGCAAGCAGGATGAAACTGGATCTGAGAAGTTTGCTTTAACTCCAAGTATCATGCTGGCTTCTTGTCCCACACCTTCTTGCATCAAAGACGAGCCAAGGAGAACAGACGCGTGAGCGAACAGGGACGAGAGCCAAGCTGCAGAAAGACAAAGAAAAAAGAGGCGCTTTTTTTCCTTGATGGATAGCTTAACCTCCTCTTGTCACTTTAGAGACAGACAATACAAATACAGCTTCACTTCACCCTCAAGGTCGATGGAACGCCTGCTCGATAACAGATGTGAAAGTACAGATATGGATAATTTCTTGAAGCTGCAGTCGATAATAAAGGAGGGAAACATTTTTTGTCGAGGATATTTGTCAGATATTTTCTTGAGGGGCTGAATGAGAGAATGCAAATGTCAGCGTCAGTTGATCCGAACATCTATCGTAACCTTTCCTGCCAGCCGCCCCAGGTAAAATATCCAGAGAATATCAGAGTGAGCCCATGTGGAAAATAAAGCAGGAAAATATCTGGAAAAACTCAAATTGAGCAAGTGGGCATGTTGATGTTGAACATCAGTTAAAATTGCGAAATGTACCTTTTAGACATTCGGTGTTGCCTAGATACGAGAGACGCAACGTGTGTTTGTTAGCAATAGGCGACGAGCGTTATGGAATCTCAAGCTACGAGAAACACAAACAGAATTTCTGATTAAAGAGCAAGGCCCAAAACTCACAGCGCTCTCGCTCTCACTCTAAAGATCCTTCCATGTCTTTGAATTTGCACCTCCATAATAGAAGCTCGCCACTTGCTTTCAACCTCTGGTCACAACTGGAGGATTCCTCCCAGTGCTTCTGCCTATAAGTCACTGACTTTCGGTGAAGGTCACAGCACAGAATGAGTTTCAACCACCTCACAAAGCACTCAAATAAAGACACAAGTTATGGTTTCTCTATTTTTGGGGTCAGTGCTTTTATGAGCGCAGGTTTTTGGCCTGAAGAGAGAGAGAGCCAGGCAGTTGGTGGACGGGGAACAAAGGAATAGGAGAACAAATGAACAGAGGAGCTGAATAATTTAATTTGGAGAGCAGAAATGTCATCCCAATTAGACCGTGAGATGAACTCACCACCTCGCGCACACACACGCGTACACACACATGCTGAATGGTATGCTGTGGGAAATAGAGGTGACCTGAGATGGAGGAATAGATGAAAACGGAGAGAGCCATCTGCCTCCTGATTTAGTGCATTAGAAACTGCAGACTGGCCCCAAGAGAGTGGCGCTCAAAGATAAAACAAACTTTACACACTCATCACTCTTATCTGAGCCCCCAATCCAAATCAAGGAAGACACACACACACACACACACA